TGACCAAAACCAAAGCGGTGTGGGGTTAAAGGAAAGAGCTGAGCACTCTCTCTCTGCAGTGAAGTGTGTTCGGCTGCGACTGGAACACTCTGGGAGCAGGAGAAGGGAAAACAAAAAGAGAATAATCCAGAGGTGCCATAATGGACTGTTGTGGAAGGACGACTGACCAACCAGCTTATTCTCAGTCATAGGGCCATTGCTACATGAATATCAGTGTAAGAAATACATTCACCATCATTGTCAATGTTTACCGTTAGCTGTCATTAACAGCTAGCACTGATCAAGCACTAAAAATATACTAGGCATAATGTAGATCATTATAGATACATCCTTTCATTTAATCCTCAGAACAATCTCATGAGGCAGGAATTAATTTCATGCTCACTTCATGGAAGAGACAACAAGTCCTGTGGTATTAAATGACTTGCCCAAGTTGGCATTGATGTGGATTAAGGCTGCCCCAGCTAGAGAAGCCCAAGGTGACCTGGCCTACATGCCAAACTATATGACCCAGTGGACTTTTTTTATGGTATGAATTAGGACTGCCCCAGGGAGAGAAGCCCGGGGCATCCTCACCTGCATGCCGATCTATATGGCCAGATTCGTATCTAAAGTTATATGACCGCACAATAACCAGACCCCATCTGCACTGAAATCATTTAATGACTTTTTACATCATCTTTTCTTTTTTTCCAGTAAAAATAAGTCACGTACCCATGCCTTATAAAATTAGCCCTAACCCTCAACTCAGGGCAGCAGCAGGAGCTCTGACTGCCCGTGGGTCTTGTCCCCATGCCAGCGGGGGCAGCAGCAGGAGCTCTGACTGCCCGTGGGTCCTGTCCCCATGCACCAGCTCTGCTTGCCCATGGGTCCTGTCCCCATGCCAGCGGGGGCAACAGAAGCAGCAGCAGCAGGAGCTCTGACTGCCCGTGGGTCCTGTCCCCACGCACCAGCTCTGCCTGCCCATGAGTCCTGTCCCCATGCCAGCGGGGGCAGCAGCAGTGGCAGCAGCAGAAGCTCTGCCTGCCCATGGGTCCTGTCCCCATGCTATTCCACACTATTCTCTAAATAAAAGAGCACTACTGCCAGATCTTGAGAGTCTAAGAAATCTTTCTTTCGACTCCTCGGCTCACCGATCCCGCATCAGGCATCACTAGTAAAAAGAGAAAAAAATTAACCATAAATATGAGCAGAGTGTAATTTATGAGGAATTACTGTGGATAAAACTGTTAGCACTGACTTTGTAAGCTTTTCTTCTTGTCCAGCCTCTCCAATCTGTTCTCCTTTCCAGGGGATCTATGTTCACAGGGAACTCCCAACCACATCCACTGGTAGCAGATGCTTACGTCTTTCTTAACCAAGTGCAATAAATGGAAAAATTAACGAACGAGAGCACAGACTGCTTAGACAGTCTGTTAGCAATACAACCATACTGATTTTTTGCACACTTAGAAGCCAAACAGATTTTATATACGACAAATAAACAATTTTGGAAATTGTTCAGAGTGAAGTTTTTTGTTTAGCAGAGAGTGATCTGAAAGCTTCAGGCTCTATAATTATTTGGCTGATTAAAACTCTTGCTCTTTGGCAGGTAGGATCTATCGATTGATCCATCAATCCATCCATCCATCCATCCTTCCATCCATCCATCCATCCATCCATCCATCCATCCATCCATCCATCCATCCATCCATCCATCCATCCATCCATCCATCCATCCATCCATCTATCTATCAATCTATCTACTTAGCTATCTGTCTGTCTCTCTAATGATTCTAGAGAGCCATAATTTATACACAGTAAAATGCAGATCTTGGTTTCTTTTTAAAGATCAGAAAGCTGAGAACCTGATTACCTGCCCAAATTACAACTTTAGTTACCAGAACTTGGGTCTCCTGCATTTACACAAAACTCTATTTTAGGTGGAAATTCTTTAAATGTGGGAGAAAGTCACATTATAGAACATGTAAGAGATTACAATGCTAAAATAGTTTCATATTGACAAACTAAAAGACAATATATATTAACTGAAAACTTTATTCATAACAATTAGGACAGTGTTCTGCTCCCTGGAAAAAAAGCTGTATTAGAAAACGTCTTTAAAATTGTCAAAAACTAGGGGCTGGTCCAGTGGCGTAGTGGTTAAGTTTGCTTGCTCCACTTCTGTGTCCCAGGGTTCACAGGTTTGGTCCCGGGCCCAGACCTAGCACCGCTCATGAAGCCACACTGTGGTGGCATCCCACGTAAAATAGAGGAAGATTGGCACAGATGTTAACTCAGGGCCAATCTTCCTCACACACACAAAAAAAGAAAAATAATTGTCAAAAACTAAAATTCTCAAACTGTAAAGGCTATCTAAATGTTATCTTAATAGCAAATTGGATTATTTTAATGGGCCAGCTCTTCACATCATTTTTAGAACAAGTTATTACATGCTATTTAATATTTAAAATAAAATACCATATTTTGTAGAAAGTATAAAAATAATTTGAGAAAATTATCTTTTAAAAATTCATATTTGGTCACAAAGGGACAACTAGTGAAATAACTTGCTTAACTCAGTAGTTTGAACATAATGGTAATGAAGGCATGGTTGTAGGTCTGATTTCTATTTAGGTAAGGCTGTTTCCTTTTATTTAACTCCATAGAATGATATTGCTCCCCCTCTGTTTTGCATATTCATACAGTTGATTGTTGAATCTAAATGGATAGGTTATAGTTGTAGTTTTGTCACTAATTGTGTGACCTTTGGAAAATCAAAATCTCTCTAAATCTGAGGAAATGAATTAACAACACAAATTGCAAAATTGAGCACCTTTCCTGCCCTTGTGGAGGAAGGAAGGCAGACATGAATCAAATACTGCCATCACAGAAAGAAATACAGCAATAAAAACCAGAAGCGCTGTGAAAGAATAGCACTGGGTGCCGAGAGAAGGGAACAGAGAAGCTCAGTTAGGCTGAGAGTGGTGTCACGCTGGCTTGTGAAGGCTGAAGTCAAGTACAGTAGGTGTTGGAAGGAAGCATAAAGAGGGAACAACACAGAGGAAAGTCCTGGGCCAGAAGGACCATGGTGTCCTTGTGGAACCAAAAAAACACCCGTAGGGCTGGAGCAAGGGGGACAAGACCCTTACAAGGGGTCCCGAAGTCTCTTCCCTATTTAGAATGTCTATTACAAGCTGTTTTTCCAAGTTTGCATTTTATGCTTTTGGATTTTTGTTGTTGTTGTTTGAATAGAACTTATAATTAAGGACTTAAAACATATTTACCTAATTTCTTTTAGTCCAATGATCTATCTATGTACAGGCGGTCCTCACTCTGCTTCTCTCTGAATTTTAATTACCGATGTTTAGCTAAATAATCAAATTTCAATTACCATAATATATTACCTAGGAGGAATTTCATAAAGTCCACACTTTGCTGCTGGTTTTTCAGTCCACAAATCACCATGCAAACAGCACATGTGCATCACGATCGGTCACATCACTTCTGTCAAAGTCTGTCAGTGATTGGTCACTGTGTGTCTGTTATGCGCTTCACACACAGAGAGCACATGTGTAGTTGCATTGTCTCCCAGTGATAAACCCGTGTGGTGTTTTACAAAAATGGATAATCAAAAGAGGTAAGTGGTTAAAAAAGATGAAAGTGCAGCAAAGAATTGAAGAGTGATAACACTGGAAGTGAAATTAAAATGAAAGGTATTGGAATTATAGGAGAAAGAGCTGACTGCAGGGCTGCTGACACTCTTCCAATTGAGAGACTCTAGATATGGCACCAGAGTATGGAGCTAGAGGAACTTAGCAGAAGCAAACATATTGACATAAATCAGGAAAGTGGTTGTGATGTGATGAAAACGGATGGAGCTGTCCCAGCAGAAATGACACTGCCAAAGAACTAGACACTGAAGAACTCTCGGAGATAGTTCACAACGCTGATGAACTCTCGAAACTGATCCGACCTTAGAAGGAGTAGGACAACTCACCAAGGCGTAAAAGACACGCTCGCTCCATGTCAGAAGTTACACGAGAAGAAGGCAAGCACGTTTCAAACTACTTTAGGTAAGTCTTTTTTACGAAGAAATAAAACACAATTCTCAATATTTTTACTGTTTTAAATTACAGTGTACTAAATAAGTATTAGGTATATTGCATTTCCCTATATATTTATAACTGACAGTAAGAGAGTTTTTTATATTTTGATGAATTTTTTTTTTTTGAGGAAGATTACCCCTGAGCTAACTACTGCCAGTCCTCCTCTTTTTTGCTGAGGAAGACTGGCCCTGAGCTAACATCCATGCCCATCTTCCTCTACTTTATATGTGGGATGCCTACCACAGCATGGCGTGCCAGGCGGTGCCATGTCCGCACCCGGGATCTGAACTGGCGAACCCCAGGCCGCCGAGAAGCAGAACGTGAGAACTTAACTGCTGCGCCACAGGGCCAACCCCTTGGTGAATATTTTTAAAGGTCATAGAGAATCCAGTTTTTTCCCCACTGATTATTAATATCACTTTGCATGGTTTCCTTTTATTGTCCTATACTACCATGCAAAGTAAGAACCATTTGTAATTTTTACTGAATCTAACCAATACAGCATTTTCAATGTGTCGTATGAAAACAGACATATGTTAGAAGGTTGGAGTCATTTTTCTGAGTTTACAAAACTTTCAGTGTTAAAGATTTCTAAGTCAACTAGATACTTGGAAAATAATATTGGTTAATTAAATCTTGAGAATATTATCCAAGTATCAGAAACCAAATCTTAGGCTTAAGCACCTCCAAAGCCCTAAAAGTCCCAAGACGTAACTATACTTCAGTAAGTCCAATGAAAAGAGGAAAATGTGTCTATATTCTATTTTGGGGGGCTTAGTAAAGTACTTTTTAAATTTTTACTATAAAATATTATTTTAAACATATCAATCAAGAATATGTGTGAATAAGATATACAAAATAGTTAAAAGATAATTTTACTCAAAGGGAAACAAGGATGAAAACTTTACGTACCGATTGTAGAAATCATCTCTGTAGTAATCATAGTCAAAGACGTAGCCACTAGGGAGGGAAACAAAAATTTAGTTGACATTTGTTTCAGCCACATTAATTTTGGTATTTATCTATGATATTATAGCAAGAAATTTGTTACTTTTTAAACATTTATTTTTCAATGCAATTATGTATCCAAAGCGTTTTTACAAGATAATGTCCAATTGGATACAGTGCTATGTCAAACGACTATGGTACGTCTAACAATGCAGAGGCTGATAATGGTTTGTGTGGTTTGGAATGGAAGATGAGAGCAGGTGGCAAAATACATTTTTTAATACTTTCAAAAGAAGTAATTAAATATGAATTAAGACCATTTTTTCCAGACAAGATATAATATAGTTATCTCTTCTTCTGAAGGTATATACAATGAGGCTAAACAATGAGCAAGAGGTATAGAAATAACACCAATGGGAAGCTTTAATGACCCCTCACTATCAGAATGGTAAATAGAAATGTGGCTTGCTCAGAAATTCAGCATTTCTTTTTCATTCTAAAAACTTATGATTCAGTACTCCAAATAGAGAAAAAAAATACTTTGGCTGAATCTTACCAACAATAATTTAATATTTTAGGGTGTTTAAAAAGGAATTAATAAGTGCTTTTCAGTGATGAGATTATTATGACTAAGCTTCTTAAAGGAATACACAATAAAAGTTGACTCCCCCATTTGTATAATTGTTGGAGTTTACACAGCATTTTATATGCATTATTTCCTTTTAATTTTAGTTCTCAAAACAACTCTGTTGGATACTGTACCTGGAAGAAACTAAGGCGCAAAGGACCTAAGTGACTTGCTCAGATTTTTATCGCTAATAAGTGACAGAGCTGAGACTGGAGAAAACCTGAATCAACGTCTGGAGCTGTTTTCATGACACTGTGCAACCCTCCCCAACCGGGAAGAAACTTAATCTCATGATGCATGGGGTAACCATACTACAAGGGAGTAATTATTTTTAATGTTTATGCATTTATTTTTTTATTGTCATAAAATATACATAACGTAAATTTTCCCATTATAACCATTTTTATGTATACAATTCAGTGGCATTAAGTACACTCACAGTGTTGTGCAAATATCACCACTATCCATTTCCAAAATTTTTCATCATCCCAAATAGAAATTCTGTACCCATTAAACAGGGTAACTCCCCATTCCCCCTGTCCCCAGCCCTAGTAACCTTCATTCTACTTTCTGTCTTTATGAATTTTCTTATTCTAGACACTTCATATAAGTGGAATCATACAATATTTGTCCTTTTTAATCTGGCCTATTTAAGTTATAATGTTTTCAAGGTTTATCCTTGTAGCACATATCAGAATTTCATTCCTTTTTATGACAGAATAATGTAATATTGTGTGTATATGTATATTCTTCTGTTTACCTCTCCATCTGCTGATAGACATTTGAGTTGTTGCCACCGCTTGGCTGTTGTGAATAATGCCACTATGAACATTGGTGTGCAAGCATTTGTTAGAGTCTCAGCTTTCATTTCTTTGGGGTATATACCTAAAAATGGAATCGCTAGATCATATGGTAATTCTATGTTTAACTTTTTGAGGAACCACCATGCAACAGACAAGTAATCTCATATTCCCCAAATGATCAATGTAACAGTCCTTTAGTTTGTAAGTATTCTTATGTTAGGAAATTGAAAAACACATTCAGAAGGACTTGTTATTCCTTCTGAGAATTCAGGGATTAATGCGTTTATATCTCCTCCCACTTGTTACCCACCTAAGGGAAAAGCTTGCTGTAGCATACCCAGCCCATCAGACACAGTTAGTTCTGCCTCCAACACTGTCTAGTGGGACACACTGAGCTTAAACTCAAGTTGTGAAATGCAAAGAGGAGACCTAGTCCATGTGAATGTCTGGATGGAAGAACGAGCCTGGTCTGGCCAGAGCAATGCTGCTGTACCCACCCGTGCAGACCAAGGAGGACGATGAGACCATTGCCTGAAGAGTGAGAGCAAAAATAGCCAGTTTTGCCTGATAGTCATGGACTGTTAGAGAAGTACTGTTTTATGCTCTAGTTTATATTGCTGATGTAGACACAACTATGATGTTGCATTGAGGGATTTTAAAGACAACCTATTGGCTACCACCGAACCTGAAGGTATAAATTTCACTTCCAAACCTTCCTGATACAGAAGTGCATGTACCTCTTTCCTTGTGAGTCCCTTAGTTCTGCTGAGGATGATGGATATGATGACACCTGATCCAAACCCTTTTGTTTGGAAGTCTTGAGTTTAAAGTTACGCTACTTTTACTCACATTTGTCATGGGTGATCATCATTCTATCTTATGTTTGATTATTAATTTTTTAAGAATATGTTGGTAGATCCTCAGACTTATTCATTTTCTAAGTGAAAGTTTGTATGGTTTGACCAATATTTCCCCCATTTCCTCCACCCCCCAGCCACCAGCAGCCACCAGTCTACTCTCTGTCTCTATAACTTTGGCTTTTTCATAATCTACAGATAAGTGATATCACACAGTACTTGTCTTTCTCTGTCTGACTTATTTCACTTAGCACAATCCTTCAAGGTCCATCCAGGTTATCACAAATGGCAGGATTTCCTTCTTTCTTATGACTGAATAATATTCTGTTGTACACACACACACACACATATAAACACCACATCTTCTTTATGCATTCATCTGTTGATGGACGGTTAAGCAAGGATAGTTATGTGATGTGAGTGAGACATTAGCTAATGCTAAGGTGATAGTCATTTTGCAATATTTAAATGTATTAAATTAACATCTCGTACACCTTAAATTTGCACAATGAGTTGTGAGCATGCTGACGGTGATAAAGCCATCAAAAAGAGTGAGATCTTCTTTAGGCATGAGTGTAGAGTGAGAGTATGGAGGCTGGTCTTGTGGACTCTGGAATTTAGAGGTCCAGAGAGGAGGAAGAGATGGCAAAACAGGTAGGTAGATGTGGACAGGAGATAGAGCTCGCAACCAGATAGCTCAGGGAGTGGGCCCCAGCTTGCCACCGACTTAACAAGATATTTGTACTGGTTTGCTACAGCTGCCATAACAAAACCACAGCAGACTGGTTGGCTTAAACAACAGCAATTTATTTCCTCCCAATTCTGGAGGCCAGAAGTCCAAGATCAAGGTGTCAATAGGTTTGGTTTCTTCTGAGGCCACTTTCTCACCTGGCAGGTGACTGCTTTCTTGGTTCTCTGTCTGTGTTGTCTGTGTCCTAATCTCGTCTTCTCACAAGGACACCAGTCATATTGGATATACTTGATAAAGGCCCACCCTAATGACTTCATTTTAACTTAATTACTTCTTTAAAGCCCCTGTCTCCAAATGCAGTCACATTCTCTAGCGTTTAGGGCTCCAACAGATGAATTTCAGGCACACAAGCAGCCTGACAGCATTGGACGATCCATTTAATCTTTCCAAACCTCATCTGCCAAATGGGATGGTACAGTTTCTAGCACACTGTATTCACTCAGTGAATGTTTTTTATCAGCTTTCACACAGCTGAAATTTAAACACGGATTGATCTGATTTTTGCTCTGTGTCGTGTTTCTTCAGACATTTGTTAATTTAAACAAGCTTAATAATCTCAACACTTTAGTATATATGATTTTATTTTTCCTCAGTGTTAAAGAGAGCATTTTAAAGGTTTAAGAACAAGATGACGAGAACATTTAAAGATGTATAAATGCATCTTAATTTTTATGTATGTCTTCTCTCCCTTTGTAAACTTTCTGAATGCCAAGCATCCTGTAGATATTTGTTTCCCAGTTTCATTCTCCTGGCAGTGTCTAGCAATCAGAAATTTAATAACAACAATAATAATGGTAATAATAAAATAATATTGAGAAGTTACTGATTCTAACAGATAAAACTGAGCATTTACTAAGTGTCAGACATGGTGTTAGACATTTTAAGTGCATTAAATAGCTATTGTTTGATGGGACAATAACTTTCATACAATGAAAATTCTCAGTATTTTCAGATGTAACTAAATAAACAGAGAGAGGATGTGTGGCTAAACTGTTTTATAATCTTTTTTATGAGTCTTTTCTTTATATTATGACCTCAGACAGCGAAGTTTAATTACAAGAAGAAAACATGACACACGGACCAATGAATAAATGTGTTATTAATGTGGATGACAGTGATGTGTCATACTTTTAGGAAATACTTTAATAATTTAACAGCCTTCTAGAAATTTAAATATGCGTGAGAAAAAAGAAAAGAATTCATTTTTACTTTCCTCAGTTGCTACTTAAATTATCTTGTCCAATCTGCTTATTTTTTTGTTCAATCTTGATGCTAAGACATATTTACAAGAACAAGTTATAGCTAAAAATCCTGAATGGTTTGATCTGCAAGGCCCACTGTCTGCCATCACGACCTCAATTTTACCTGTCCAGTTAAGGATGAAATGAAATGCACAACCAGACCTGTCCTGGTAATCACAACAAGTCTGCTTTTGTCTTAACGGTTTGGGCTTTTAGCAGAAATGTCGTGGATGTAGTGGGGTAGGGAAAATCAAGCTGGATTTTCAAGGAAGAGGAAGAGATTCTAAGAGATGAAAAGAGATCACCACGGGGCAAGTCTGACCCGTGTCGGCTATGCTTTCCTCAGTGTTCCCACTGCCTCCTCAATTCTTTATTTTTCTCTACCAGATTCTCTCTCCATCATAAAAATCCTTCTTTTTCTTTCTGTGTGAGCCTCTATTTGAAATTAGCTGCCAAAAATGGCATTTCCAGGAGTCATAGTCAGGTTTATTAGGTATTCTGTGTATCCTAGAATTTTATTGCCAGCAAAAACTTATCTTTTAAGTTACAAAGGATTTCCTTTCCCCTCGTAAACTAAGTGTGGTGCCGTTATGCTCACGGGCTAATCTGTTTTGCCTTTTAAGGGAGGAACCTTTGCAACTTTCATTGCATATGACATTCTGGTTCTTAGGCCATTGAAAACAAAATGGTAATAAATTAGAGGTTAAGGGCATTGTCCAGGAGGAAATTAAG